GGGTATGTTTTGGGCTCAATTTAAAAAAAATACTATTATAATTAGTGCAAAAGACGGAAGCGTTTGTAGAACGCAATCATTTCATGATAATCGTCTTGTTTAAACTCTGTCCGATCAGCTCCAGCCCATAGGCTCACCAGCCTGCGATCGATTCTCGTTCATTTGCTGTGTTCGTTTTTCGGACAATAAATTCAGCATGCACAGTCCCATTTCATTTCGTTTCATTCTCATGCCATTGTCGTCTTGTCTCGAATTGCATCACTTCAAAATCTCGTTAGTCACTGCTCATCTAGGCTTGATCGTGGCCATTCACTTTACGAGGGAATTTGTTTGTTTTTTTTGTTGTTTATGATGTTTTTTCGATGAGGCGCTCATTTTTTGATATGTCTGCTCGATACATGGATGCCGTCGTCAATCGTTGATTATGCATATCGAAATGCGTTAATTATCACAAATTGTTGTTTGCAGATAAACTGGCCAGCTGACAACTACTCCTCAAGCATATCGTCGTCGTCTTAATAATCGCACTGAATGTCAACTATCAACTGCAGAAGAAGCACTCAAACGACGCGCATCCATCGAAATTGAGCACGAATTGCATCTTCGGAGCGACGACGACACTCTAGCAAAATCTTCGACACCACTAACATTACCACACCAACAAACACTTGGTCGAATCCATCCAACATCAAACATTTCGAATTGGCCATCTACTACCGTCCTATTTTTTCATTTCCAGTTCCTTCATCTAATCCTCCACGTACCAACTTCACTAGTCGAGCACTCAGTGCTGCTGCTGCTGCTACTGCTTCCGTGGTCCGACAATCAAACTCAAGCCATCATCTGCACAATTGGCATTGTTGTTGTTGTTGTTGTTGTTGTTGCACTGACCAGACGAATTTGCTTTTGGTTGGGACGAATTCACATCATCGCATTTCATCGAATCGCTACTGCCATACTCTTGTTGCTGTTGCTGCTGTTAGACGCAAACCGCGCGGCCATCGAAATCGCCAGCACCAGCACCTTAGCCGTGCCAAGCATCGCCCTCTTCAGCCAAGCCTCATCACTTCACGATCCCTATCGGCTTCGCGTCTCGCGGCATCGTCCGCGACGAATGCCTTCTCAACGACAACTTAAATGCGATAGTACTGGAAGGCGCGCATCAGCGCGCCATCAATATGCCTCATCGTCATCGTCAACGTCATCCTACAACACACAGCCAATCGTCAACACCACCACTAACAGCAGCAACAGTAACAGCAAATGCTCCTGCTCGTACTCTACGAACACCTACAGATGCCTCAACTCGCCTTGTTGTTGCATCAGCCTCATGCAGTCATCAGTACGATTATCATCAGCTCATTCACCGAACGCTCACAAATGCCGTGCACACGCAAGAGCCCTGTATGGATCGGTGGCATTCTTGTCACAGCCACGATGTGCCCGATTCAACGGTGAGTTCATGCCAGCCACTCCTGCCAAGTGTCGGTCTACGGAAACGACAACAGCAACGAGACTGTCACCAGCAACAACAACAACAACAACAACAGGTGATGATGTCTTCAAGCTGCGCAATACGACAAGATCAACATCTTCCTCATCATCATTCTCAGAAGAAGGAGGATGGTGGTGCGGTGGAGTGGTTACGATTGAGGTATCGAAGGCATTATGAGGTTCCATTCAGGCATCATCCGGGACGGGCCGAAACAACCGCAAATTGTGGTTTNTCATCGTCATCATTGTCATCACCTATAATATCATCATCGTACTGTTGTGACCTCAAGGGCGTGTGTACAACCACCCGACAGCACAAACGTCAACACCTCACCACTGCCAATAATTCAGCAAACTGTTGTTCACATACGGAAACTACCAGTGCTCTCCCTTATTTCACGTCGTCGCATTATTCATGTTTAAATTCAAATCCGTTTCCTTTATCTCCGCTGAATTCGCATTTTACCGATAATTCTTCTGATAAATCGCCATTGTTATCATCGCCGTCATCAACCTCCAGTTCTGGGAGAAGTAGTGATGCTGATGACAATAACAATAATAATAACAATACCAAGAACAATAATAGCGATAATAATAAAGCTAACAATAATGGCTACAGTAGATCATCACCTGTGTTCTCATCAAATTCTTTCTATTTTTTCGTATATTTGCATATATTTTCTGTAATTGCATGTCTCGCCGCAACGGGTCTTTGTGTGCGTGCGACTGTAATCACTTCTTCGCCGAATCGAACGCCCTCATCTCTGTATAATAGTAATGTTATGGATACTAATCATTCTGTTGTTTCGATGATGCATTCATCGTCGTCACCGTTATCGTTATCGCCAACCGAAGAAGCGTTTCTGTCGTCACCCGAAGAAGCCAGGATAACGGCAACAATAACAGTGATAACCACTGACACTCACACAATTCATGTGAATCCACTGTTGAGGATTGCACGCGACAATGCGCACAAGAAGCAGATGTGTCATGTTTGGTCAGAATTTGCACCGAGCGATCTGTGTGAGATGGGTCGATGGGCCAGATTGAAGCGATTACGAGAAATGTCCGTGTTTTATCGTGATTGTGCCACGCAGTCGAGCAATGTTATGATGGCACAACTGTTTCGCATTGATTGGAGGCGTATCAAGAGCGAGAGTGATTTGCATGCAAATGTTGAGCATTTACGAGATGGTGCCGATGCTCGCGACTGCCTTCTAGCTGGTGCTGGCTCACAAGAATGTCTTCAGTGCTTCCAGAATGTGAGTTCTGCCGGATAGTTATACGTCCATTAATGAAATTTGATGAGTGCCAGCTTCATAGGCTCTCCAAGTGTTTCAAGTTCGCTAA